GTGTGTGTGTGGGGGGGTCTCCTTCTCTCCTTTCCCTATTCTCCAGCCCCCAAAATGCTGGTAATCTGAGAGGACACTGTGGACAAGTCCTTTGTCATGTGACAGATAAGAGCTAACAGGCAGGACAGGCACCAAGCCATGTACCTAGGGATGTGGAAGCAGACAATACTCTACCTTTTGTGTCATTCCTACTTTTCAAAGTCACAGAGCATAAATGACCTGCCCGGTGTCCTCCTTAATCAGAGACTGGGTCTCAAACCCTGAGTGGTCATGAGAGAGGCCAAGTTCCTTGGCCATCTGTCAACAGGCTGCCTCAAAGGTGATCACTGGGAAGCAAGTGTGCCTATGAAGATCTTAGTTCAAGGCAGGTGTTAACAACCCGGGCCTGGGTTCAAAGCCTGGCTCCCCTGCTCAGGGCTGTGTGACCTAGGGCAGGTCAGTCAACCTCTCTGAATCCCCATTTTTTTCTCTGTAAAATGTGGGGCATGACAGTGACCAGATCAAATGTGATAAACCATGTAAGGGCCAAGCAATAGTAGGTCAGTCATGGGTAGCAAAATCCTCATGACCAAAGGAAGAACACCTTTATACCAACTAATCCGGACTCTCAATGTCTTGTTTTGTTTTTTGTGAAGGGTTTTTTCAAGCTAGGGTCTTGCGAACTATTTGCCCGGGCTGGCTTTGAACCATGATCCTCCTGATCTCTGCCTCCTGAGTAGCTAGGATTACAAGTGTGAGCCACTGGCACCTGGCTCGGACTCTCAATGTTTGAGGGTCTAGAGGAACCTGGCCTGACCCCCTTCACCACAAAGATGCTCATCACAAGAAGGCAGGTACCCAGAAGCAGGCTTCCATGTGGGGCTCGAGAGCCACCATGTCCACCAGGCCCATTTTTCCCTGTTAGCATCAAGCCACACCCTGTGACCCACCCCTAGTGTCAGGGCTCCATGGTCACTGCAAGGTTTGGCAGGATCCAGTTCGTCCCACACCACTGGGCTGGTCACTCACCAATGGTGGCTGAGATGGCCAGGTAGGAGACAGTAGTCCAGAAAATGGCCATCAGTGTGCCCTTGGGGATGGCCACAGCAGGGTCCTGTAGGAAGGACAGTGGTTATCACACAGCCTCTCCTTTAAGCCCCTGAGCTTTGACTGAGGCCAGGATGGGCAGCAGCCTCCCACCTCAGAGGCCCATTAAGCACACTGAGAAAGACCCTTGTGACTGAGGCTATACATGGCTTTAGTCACAGGAGTGAGACCATATCCAAGGGCCGGGGGAGCCCAAGGCAGGAGAGAAAACCAACACCTGGGCCACAGAGGACATGTGGCCAATACTGGTGGTGGGAGAGGGGAAGGAGGAGCCCTGCTGGCCTGGCTCTGTGGTCAGCCTGCCTGGTTCAACTCATTTGGAAGTGGGTGGTAGCAGGTGACTGCTCTGTTGGTGAGGTGAATGAGTCCACGCTCCCTGATCTGGCCCGGCTCACCTGTAGGCTTCAGGACCAATGAAGTCACTATGCACAGACCCATCTGTCAGGCTTCACAGCCATAGATAAACAGGAGTGGAAAGAAGAGCCCCCAACCTTCTGCTCTGAGAAAACTCTCTGCTCAGGTTTTGTTAACAGTAATAACAATCCTGGAGATCTGAGAGCTCCAGGCTGGCTGGGCTGGAGCCTTGAGTGCCAAGCAAGGGGCTGCCTACATCAAGGCGGTGGACAGCCCCGGAGGGAGGTCAGCCCAGGGCTGACATGCATGGTCAAGGCTGAGTTTTGCAAAGTCACAGCTGGGTCAGTTTCCCCAGGCCGAGAGCGCCAGGAACTAGAGAGGAGACAAGCCCATTTTTGCCCTGTAGCACAGCTGGTCAAGAAGTAGCCACAGATTAAAGTAGAAAGGCACTGATTGCAGTTGGGTTGAACTGAGCTGAACTGGACTGGATGTGAGAAGCTCTGACTCTGCCCAGCTCTGTGCCCAATGGCAGATCCTGGCAGGCCATGCTCCCAACTCGCCTGGTGCCAACACAGGAAGGATGTGTTCTACTCACCTTAAGGTCCCCGGAGATGTTGGCCCCTGCCAGGATGCCTGTGGCTGAGGGGAAGAAGATAGAGAACATCCCGAAGAAGCTGCCATCAACACCCCGCCAGCTGGGCACCAGGTTCTGCACAAAAATGTCCCCTGGGAAACCAAGGCCTGAGTCAGGGCTGCCTGGAGGGCTTGACACTGTACCTGGGCCAGCAGTCAGCTTCTCCAGCAGCCCCTGGCCATGGAAGATGGGTACCCATCTTCCTGGTCCCCATACAATGGGACAGATTCATGGACAAACTGTTCCTGTTCCCAGAGCCATGGTTGGGGTCCCCACCTGCACATACCATGGTAGCTGAAGAAGCCTTTGGAGGCCTTGTCTTCAGATGGGGGGATCAGTGTCCCCACCAAGTAGTTGGCAAAGGAGACCATGATGACAAGGAAGAACAGCACCTGAGCCTGGGGGTGAAGGACTCCAGAGGTCAGATTGTGGTTCCATGCCTTCAGGGAGCCCCACCAGGGAAGCACTTGCCCAGGGTCCCGCACGCCATCATTCCCACATTGACTCATGCAGCACCCATCACTCAGCAAGCTCTGTCCCAGGTGTTGGGGATATAGCAGGAAGCTAGATGGCAGGGGAATCTTGTGTTGACTGATTGTGTAAGATGAATTCTGAGTAGGAGCAGATAGTGTGATGGGACGAGTTGGGCTGTGTTAGCAAATGGCATTGGATGGTGTCTCCAAGGAGGAGATGTTTGAGAATATGCAAAAAGGAGGAGGAAAACCAAGTTGTAGAAAGACCTGGAGCTTAAGCTTAGTGCTTTTGAGGAAGAGGTGGCCAGAGAACCGCAGGAAGAGAGGCAGCAGCAGGGCCAGGTCCTGCACAGCTTGAAGAGCCCCCTGGCCAAGGCTGCTGACTGGAATCCAACACTTCTTCCTTCTGACTTTTGGCTGGTCACATGGTTCAAACAAAGCTCATGCTTTCCAGCCTCTCTTGCAGCTATGTGCAGCCTTGAGACCAAGTTCTGGCCAATGGGATGTGGGCAGGAGTGATATGTGCAGCTCTAGCTTTGCTGGAAAGGGACAGGGGAAGGGGATTCCCTCCCTCTCATTTCACCTTTTCCCTTTCCCTCTGCCTGGACCACAGGCAGGAGATGGTAGCTATTGTGGAGCAGGTGGACAAGGACCACACCTCAGTGATGGAGGGAGAAATCTGTGTATCTTTTCCCCACCATGGAAGCCACCAAGCTGGCCCTGCACACATCCTCTTGTACAGTTACATAAGAGGAACAAAGTCTCTCTTACTTAGGATTTCTTTGTCACAGCAGCAGAACTTCAAGCCTAGCTAATACACATAAGAAGGAAGAGAATCAGCAGCTGGACTCAGACCTTATGATCCTGCTTCCAAACTTGGCCTCTTCCCCCTCACAGCCTCCTTACCTTGGACTCCCACTCCATGCCAGCCAGGGAGATGCCCAGCAGCACAGTGACCGTGATCACACCGACAATGCGGATGTCATTGATGGGGTCCACGATGGGTGTGTCATGCTCCTGGTGGGGGGGACAGACTGATCATGAGCCCCTCTATACACCTGCTCCTCTGGACTCCCCCACTTCCCTTAGGGGCCCTTGAACAGCAAGACCCAAACACAAGTGCCTCCCCTGACCATGGGACCTCCAGAGGTCACCTGAACGACTTGGACCAAAAGGGGACTTGGAGGATAGTCTTTACTTGATGAGATCATTATTGTCATCCACAATGACCAGATGTGACCTTGGCCCCTGATGGGCAAAATCGGACAGGGGAGGAAGGCCTGGCCTAGTGGCCCCCAGAGCAGAGTGGGGTGGCTTCCCGGCTCCCTCTGTCCCCCTTACCTGGAGCAGGTCCCGCACAGTCTCCGCAAAGCCCACGGTATGCATGGCCACACCCACAGCGTTGGCAAAGGCGAAAATGAGGCCAATGGAGCCTCCTAGCTCAGGGCCCAGACTCCGAGAGATGAGGAAGTAGGTGCCACCTACCAGGGCCAGAGCCAAGAGCCACGAAACCAGAGGAATCAGCTGATATGGCCGAGGCCATCCTACCACAGGTCAGGAGGCAACTGAGGCCATCGTGGGGTGTGGAGCCCATTCAGGTGCGGTGGGGCGTTCTAGGGTGGGGGTAGTTCAGAGACCCTTCCCAGGGTGAAGGCAGGGAGTCTAGGGGAGGAGGACCCTGGGATAGGGACACACCTGATTTCACCTTGCCATTGGTGGAGATGGCTGAGATGGACAGGCCCGTGATGGAGGTCACCATGACTGAGAGCAGGATTATGACCCAGGTCAGCACTGTACAGGGTGAATTTGAGACCCGGATACTCAGTCAGGGTGGGTCCCAGGCGCGGAGCTACTGAGGGAACCGAGTCTGCCCTGGGATTCCATCGGGCAACTCCAATTCCTTCTCTTCTCTGAGCCTCAGGGTTTTTTGACTTTTTTTTTTTTTTTTCTTTTTTTTTTTTGCAGTACTGGGACTTGAACTCAGAGCCTACGCCTTGAGCCACTCCACCAGCCCTTTTGTGTGTGAAGGGTTTTTTTGACATAGGGTCTCACAAACTGTTGCCCAGGCTGGCTTCTAACCACGGTCCTCCTGATCTTCTGCCTCCTGAGTAGCTAGGATTATGGGCATGAGTCACCGGTGCCCAGCTGAGCCTCAGTTTTACCATCTGAAAAACGGGTCTCTGTCTACCTCCTGGCATGTTCTGAATACCCAGAGAACTCGTGAACCAATGGGTAAAGGGTTGCTGGTATGGAGGGGAGGGTGCTTTCCTTTGAGAAGAAAAGCAAAGCTACAGGGGCTGGTGGAGTAGCTCAAGTGGTAGAGAGCTTGCCTAGCAAGCTTGAGTACCGCCAAAACCCACGAGCATCTCTGGGTGCCCCATTTTTACTCAGAGAAGTTAAGAAACTCACACAAGGTCACGCAGCACTGTGCAGAGCTAGCATTTGCTCTCTGGCTTTCCAGAATGCAGTTCTGAACGAACATACTCTGCAGTAGAGATTAACTAGGAGAGGGTAAGTGACTCACTAAGAGCAAAGAGAGTTGGGGAGAGCAGACTCTATGTTCAATGTGTCTCTGCCACTGCAGGGACCCGAGGCTGCCCTGGGGTGGAGGAAACCTGGCTTAGGGTGTCTTCCACCCAAGTCCAAGGCTGCTCCCTCGGGGCCTTGGTGGTGGAGAACCAGGACTCAATCACGTTCTCCCACCTCTTCCCGGCACCACTCACCAATGCCGGCCTGTGCCGTAATCCAGGGGAGCCGCAGGTAGAGGATCACGCCCCAGATGTTGAGCATACAACGGATCTGCGGGAGAGTAGGGTCAGAGGCTTCCTGGGCTGGTGCCAGATACCCTGAGGCTCCTAGGGGTGTCTCTAGACAACAGGGCTCCTTACCTTGCTTTATCCACTTCCATGCGTCAGGCCCTCTGCTCCGGGGGCCAGAGGACGGACCTACCCTTTCCTCTCATCTTGCCCCCTCCAGCTAAAGCGTTGTCACCTCTTGCCCTATTTCAAGCCCAGGACCCCACATCTGCCAGCCCCAGCCATGGCCCTGCAGGGTCTAGGGTTTAGGACAGTCAGCGAATGCCAGCTGAGACAATGCCCCACTCATAGCAGAAACTGGAGCTCAGAGTGGCGACCTCAGCTTTCAAATTTAAAGCAAAGCTGTGATGGAGGCTGAAGTCCCCGGGTGTGTGTGTGTGTGTGTGTGTGTGTGTGGTGGGGGTCCTGCTATGGTCTTCGGCCCCAACAAGGTGGGGTAGGAACATGTGACATTCACAACCGTGGGGGAGTTCCAGCGTCCTCCATCTGCTCAGAGACGCTAAACAGGCCCACGTCAGGGTCTAACACTCGGGAGGGTGATCCCCTCCCTGACTATGGGTCTCTGGGTGTGTGTGGCCAATGCGGAGGGCGGCTCCAGGTTCCGATAGAGAAACAGAGTCACAGTCGGTTAGCAGAGTTAAGATCAAAAATTGGCTGCCTGCCTCCCAGAGCAGGACTGAAATTTCTCTTTTATCCCAGTCCCATAGTCTGTAGAATCCCACTGTGTCTTCCAAAGACAAGGTCACTTGGTTCTTTACTTTTCTGGGGCCTTATTAGTGGTGTCAACTACAGCAAATCTTTTCCTTGTCACCATGATGTCCAGTGGAAAGAAAACAGGTTTGTGGAGTTATGTCTTTAGTGCTGCCCCCTGGTGGCTGTGAGGGGAAAGTTTCTTCTAATAACTTTCCAGGACTTCACATCCATTAATCCATGTAATGCTCATTTCACAGATGAGGAAACCGAGGCAGAGAGTGGTTAAGTAACTATCTCAAGGCTACACAATTAGTGAGTAGCCAAGCAGAGATCTGATCTCAGTCTAGCACACAGATAGGGGTTGAGAAGTCCTAAGCTGAGAAAATTTGAGGTCACTGTGCCCACGGGGAAACTGAAGCAGGGCCCAGGGTTGCCCTAGCCACGAGAGCCTGAGACTCACAGCTGACCCTGGATGGAGCCCTGTCCCTTCCCTCTTTCTGGACTTCAAGTCCAACCACACCCCACTCACCATCACCCCTTTGACCCAGCCAAAGCGCACAGGCTCTCCGGGGTTCTTCTCATGGTTGGTGCCTGCCTCATCCTCCATGAGACCATCGGCCAGCTCGTGGTTGGGCCGGCTGTCAAAGGCCAGGGTGTGCAGGTGGCTGCCTTCCTGCTGGGAGCCCAGAGACCACCAGTCAGGCAGGCAGCGGTGTTGAGGGCTAGGTGTCTGCCACCAGTCCCTGCCTGTCCCACTGTGCCACACCAGGCAGTCTCCAATAGCATCACTGGCATGGTGCTACTGGAGGGGCTCTTATAAAGCACCATGGCTGTGCTGGGGGTGTAGCTCAGTGGTAGAATACTTACTAGTGTGCATAAGGCCCTGGTTCCTTCCCTAACTCCAGGAAATAAAAAAAAAGTTCCATGACAGCAAAGAGATGCCATGGAAGGCTCACGGTACAATCCCTCCCATCCCCTGCCATGCAGTGGACTCGGAACCAACCAGGTAGCCTCACAACCTAAAGAGGGGGCCACAGTTATTGTCACCCCTGAAAGGTGAAACAGCTTGTCCATGGCCACACAGTGGGTCCCTGGCAGAGTCTGGAATAGAACCCAGGCCTCACCCAGATGTGGTATCTCCTGTTTTTTTTCCTCCAAGTGACTGCAGCCCACCACGCAACAGCCAGCCACATGTGGCCCTTGGGTCCAGGGTAGGGGATTGCCTTAAGGTAGAGGTTTAGCAAGTCTTGGCTCCAAAACTAAGACTGATTCTGCCCTGTTGTCAGATGGAGTTCAGCCCCAGCCCTCTACCCTTCACAGTCCAACCTCCTAGGCAGCAAAGCTAGCGAGGTCCTCTCCTCCCCATCTCTTTTGGGGGTGTACAACCTTGGCTTGCATGCCCCCACCAAGCAGAAGCGCATTTCCTCTCTGAGCAGCCCACTCGAACTTTGTGCTGCTAGTGGCTGGACTAAGCATCACAATGTATGCTTGAAGCTCCTATTTCATTTGGGCCCTGCAATCCTTGAGGAGGACATTTGTCCATCTCCAGTGGCTGGGTGACAGAACCAAGGCTCAGAGATGTTAGGTAACTGGGTTGTGCTCACACAGCAGGGAAGTGGCCAGTTTTCTGAGATGGTACTTACCTTGAGGAAGGAATGCAGGTCTGCCAATGTGGGCCTCATCTTTCGGGGCTCACCAGGAAGGGCACTATTAGCATAGTGATCATAGGCAGGCACCACATCGATGGTGTTGTAACCAAAGGTGCGCATGTATAACGTGCTGCCGTGGGTCAGGTGGCTGGGGTGGCTGCTGTCATAGACAGCTGGTGATGGAGGCTCATCAGCCCCCCTCAGCGTGCTGATGGTAAAGCGCCCACTACACAGAGCAAGGTCCCCAGGTGTCTCTGCCACAGGCAGCTCTGCCATTATGGCTCTGGGTGTCAAGGGAGGGGGTCAGGGTCGGCAAGGACACATAGGGTGGCTTTATAGGCCGAGCCTACAGCAAGGAGAAGGCGGGAGGTTGGCCCAAACCGCCCACAGCTGGTAAGCAGGGTCCTGGACAGGGTGGGAGGTGGAGTGTGTGAGCTCTGCTGTCCTGCCCCCATTTATTTGATCATTGACATATGGTCACTTTGGACCAGGAAGGCCACAGCTAGGCTGAGTCCTGTGATGGCTCTTCTGAGCTCACAGCCAGGACCCAGGAAGAAGTCACCAAGAGGATCCTGAGGGACCCCATCCAAGGCAAGTTCACAAGCCTCTCATTGCAGTAGAGAATATTTCCTTTTATTTTTATTTACTTTGCAGTTTTAATAGATGAGTGGTATGACATTTTAAAAGACAAACATATTTGTAAAAAAGGAAGTCCCTTGTTCCAGCCTCTGTCCCTCAGTGTCTTGGTGCTCTTTCAGACAAATCTTAATGTATGTAAGCCATGACGACAAGTGGCCCCAAACCACATCTGCAACCACCCCTGGACAGACAAGCCATGAGGGCTCGTGGCTGGCAGAAGCCTCCAGGACCACCTGGCATCATGCCCCATGCAAGCTGTCCTTCCCCAGTCTCTGTCTGCAAGACTGGGGGTTGTGGGCTCCCATGTGGGAGGCCCTGTCCACTTTTGCTAGCACCTTCAGGCCACATCTTGAATGCATAGTAGCAATGAGAGTAGACTTTGGCCTCCAGAGGCACCTAAACCACTGCTGGGGACAGTAGTTGAAATTTGTGTTGCTGGAGTATATGAAAGGGTCCTCAGCAATGGAGACATGTCTCTCCAGCCACCATGAGGGCTCTCAGTGTCAGCCCCTAAGCTAATGACCTCTTGGGTGGCCACCTTCCTCCCATGAGGCAAGTGTAATGCCTGATCACTGATGGCTGTGGGATACAAAGATCTGGCACCCTGTCCCACATCTGAAGGGCCAGATTTAGAGTCCCCCAAGGCCTGGCGTCTATACCGCAACCCACGTCTCCCTCTGCCCAGGGCTGCTCCTTCCTTTCCAGCCTGAGGTACCTCCCTCTCTGAGTAGCTCACAAGAAAGTCACTCAAATAATGAGACCCTCTAAGAATTGCTTTAAAAATGAGGAGAGGAGATAAGAAAGAGTAATAGAGGGATGAATTTGATCAAAGTACATTATATGCATGCATGGACATATCACAGTAAAGCCCCTTTGTACAATTAATTTACACAATTTTTTTTAAAAAGGAAATGACTAATATCTTTTCACCTGTCCAATAAACTTTTACTCACCACCCCCATATGTGGGTAGAGGTGGGAGTCAGGGCTGCACACAGGGCATCTTGCCTATGTTCACTGTGCTGCAGTTAGTGGGGACCACACGTGGAGACAGTCAGTCATGCAGCAAGGACGACATGGGGGAGAGACAGGAGGGACAGGAGAGCAGGGTGTGGACAGTCCTGGAGGATGCAGCTTTGACCTGTGTTGCTTCTCCTGGAGTCAGGGGATGGAAGGAGGTCAGAAGACCACTGCTTCATCTGGGCAGCTGAATTCAGCTTCTGCTCGGGCTCAGGTCACCCTCCAAAGGAAGATGGACATGTTTTCTCTCTCTCCCAGCCCTGATTTGAAGTCCACACAAATTCCCCAGAGGACCTGCTCCAGTGTGGCCTCCAATATGGAGTCAACGTCAGTTGGCCGGAGTTTACAGAGGCCCAGCTGGCTCATGCTGTCCCTTGCTACCCTGAGCCAGAGGGGCCAGGACAGGTATGTATCCCCTAGAGGGCAGACAGAAGGGGCAGATGGAAAGACTCAGACTGGGTTAGAGCAGCAAACTATGAGAAAGTCCCTGACTTGGAGTCCCACAAAAGTGCAGACAAGCACTCATACCTCCTCAGTGCATTTTTCTAGGGAGGGGACATAAATGTCACCTAACTTACTAGAAGAGAAGACCATGAAGGCTGTTCAGAGGGATCTGCCCTGTTCTGTTCAATGACAATTCCAAGCAAATAGAAAGCACAGAGGAGGTGCTCAGTAAACATGATTGAATGTATACTGAAAGGAGGGTGAAGTGGCTGCTGCAGACACCGTTGGCTGACAGAATTACCTGAGGGGTGCCAAGCCAAGTCTCTTCTGGTTCCCCCAGCCCAGAAGTCTGCCTCTGTTGGACATTAAGAGGTAAGCTGCAGAAAACTAGAGCTTGGTGACAACCCCAAAAGGTTGTCATCACTGTACGTACCTCAGTTTGTATCTTTACCATATGTTCATTTTCAAAGACTCCTCAGGGCTCTTCTGATCACACCTAGGCCCACCTGTCCCTTCCTCCCTGGGTCCACAGTCCCCCCCGCCCCCCCAGCAGTGCCAGCTGAAAGCTGGAAGGCAAGGATTCCAGGCCAGAGACTTCATGACCTCACCTCAGTCAGGGTTAATTTCCCTCCTCTCCCCCTCCTCTGCAGGCTCAGTTAGCCATGGATTGGGGAGGGGGATTCTTCCTATAGAGTTACTCATTCCCTCCTCCATGGCCCTCAGGGAAGATCATATCATTCCTGGCTCTTAAACTGCCTGTTGACTGGCAAAAATCACAGCTGGCCAACACCCTGTACGCCATTCCTACACACCCTGTTCCTGGCAGTGGTGGAAAATTCCTGATTAGGATCTCAGGAGAGGAAGGGGCCAGGGCTGGTTTCCAGCAACACTGGGGCTATAGGTGGAGTAATAGGCCATGAATTTGATGGATGACCTTGAGCAAGTCACTTTCTCCTCCCTCCAAACAACCTGGCTTATGTCAGCTGTAAAGGTGAGCATGTACTGCTTCCAGAACCCTCTCCTGCACTCCTGCATCTCCCTGGGGTAGGATGGGGTTTAAGCAGCACCCCTCAAAAGAATTATCAACAGCACAAGCTAAAGGGACTGACACCTTGTCCCTAAGCACAGACCCAGAGAAAGGGAATTCTTGAAACTGGATGGAATGTAGTCAGAGATTAAATTTCATCAGAGATTCCTTGTACTCTGTGCAGTCTCAAGAGTTTCAGTTCTGTTGGTTTCTGGGGGACTTGGAGCAAGTCATCTGACTGGATGAGTCTGTTTCCACAGCAGGAGCAAGACAAAAATGACACCTACACCTGCTAGAGCCAGGCACCTCCTGCCTATCTGCTGTTGGGCCCTGGCTAAGTGATGCCTTTTGTTCCCCTGGCTCTCAGGAGGAACAAGGCAGCTAGAGATGGGAAAGACTCAGTGGTCAGGAAACTCCCTGGGAACTGAAGCAGTGAAGATAAGAGGGCCTGTTGCAACCTTCAGGTCTTGTCTGCATGGCACAAAAGCACATCAGCATTTATTGAGCTCCTCCTGTGTACCACACCAGGCCCTGCAACTCCCAGCCTGGCCTGGCAGATAAACCAGCAAGGAGACCATGCAGCCGCAGCCAGCCAGCAGAGGGAGGCTGCCCAGGTGCAGAAGTGGTGGGGAGGGGGAGTTGGGGAAAGGCCAGGCCTTGCTGCGGAAGAGGTGGGTGGGGCTGGAGCAACCAGTGCTGTGGGCTGGGAGAGAGGGAAGAAAGGTGGGACAAGGCTGAAAGGGGTCTGATTGTTTCTTCATTCCACCACATTTATTAGGTGCCTACTACATACCATGTCCTGTGGTAGGCAAGGGAGGCCCACACAAAACAAAGATCCTGCCCTCCTGGGAGCTTACACTCTAGTGGGAAACACAAAAAACAAATAAGCAATTGCAACAGTACATTTTGTGGTAAGTGCTATTAAGAAAATAAAGCTTTTTATTAGGCAGAACATTCAGCCTGATGAAGAATTTAAGTTGAATACCCAGGATGAGGAACAGGGGCCACCCACATGTGAGCAGGTCTTACAGGGGTTTTAGACAGGGCTAAGGCATGTGCAAAGGCCCTGGGACAGGAGTGTGGCTTGGGATTCAAGAAGAGCAAGGAGGTGTGTGTGGCCCAGGAGGTGGGGTTTGATGAAAGAGGGAACATCCAGCCTTATAGGCCATGGTCATACGCTTCATATTCTGTTATGTGAGGGCCACATTGACATTTTTCAAAGACTACTTTGGCTGTGTGTAAGGGAGACCAGTCAGGGGCTGCCACATGTACACCATTGGGGTGGATAGTGAGGTACATTCTGAAGGCAGAGCTGGCACAGCTGACAGAGCCAGTACAGCACCCTGTGGCCAGGGTTTGTGGGGAGCAGGGAGGACTCCATGAGGGAAATGAGTGTGGTTTCTGAGCAAGGAATCCTGACAGGGAAGGCCTTCAGTGCCACAGTAGGGAGTCTGGCTTTTGTCCTGGGGTGTCAGGTCCCTGTGTTTCTGGAAAGCTGACCCCAGGCAGCAGTGGTGTGGTAAATAGTGTGAGCCCAAAAGCTGCGGAGCTGGGGAGGGCTGGGAAGGTGCTATGGCAATGGCCAGGCCAGAACAGATAACCATCCCAGCAATGAGCGTTAGGCTACTCTGACCACATACAGATTTGAGTTGCTAACCAGTGCTGATTCCTGGGGCCCAATCTGGAGACTATATGGGCCTGGGTGGAGGAGGGGTGAGGGGCAGGCATTAGTATTTTTAAAACTTCCAAGGAGCTACAGAAAATCATCTTTCATCTAGTCATCCCTGCCCACCCTGTCCCTGAGTCCTGGCATCCGACTGTGTCCCACGAGGCTCGCCTGGAGAGGATGGGTATGATGCAACCCTGGTGTCGTGAAATAGCCGGGTAAGAGGATGCGCTGCTCGTCGGCCTGATTCACAACACCAGCTGCAGCAACAATACCAGAACTCGGCAGGCTTCCTCCTCAGTGCGTGGCTCCTGTGCTTTACAGTGCAAACTTCTTCCCCAGCCAGAGCACGGCTGCAACAGAAGCTGGGTCCCTGCCCTCTGGGGGCTCACAGACTTGATAACTGTGGGAAGAGACAAAACCCTACACAGTGCAGAACAGCAGTGGCAGAATCAGGTCTGGGAAGACCTGGAAAGCCAGACTCTGGGCTGCAACCTCTCC